CTGATTGGGAAGTGTTAGCTAATGTTCTCCTAATGATTAATAAGTGATTTAAAGACATGATAAGCTATCTTAGTTTTTTTTGTTTTTTTTGTTTTTGTTTTTTTTAATAGAGTTCATCCATTGACCTTTATCTTCATCAATTACTTGACACAATATGAAAACTTTTTTTTTTTGTGGAGGTGAAATTTCTTTCTTTGAAGGAAAAAAGAACAAAAAACAAAATTTGTTCTCTAAATCAAGAAAGTCTTACCCCCCCCCCCTTTTACTCTCATATTATTTCTCAGACTTTCAGCCAACATTTTCCACATGGTTATCTGATTTCTCCCCACCCCCATTGTTATTTGCCCTACCATCTGCTGATTTCTTGAACATTTATTTATTTTATTTTTTAAATGTACATTTTAGTTGGATATATTTCATTTTTTATTTCCTTCTTATTAAACGTATATTTTAATTGTTTATCTTAGCTTTCGTGGATATATATAAAATGAACTGAAGAAAAAAAAATGTTCTTTTTGTAATAATTACATAATAAAAAAAAATTTACAAAATTATGTTTCTGTCCCATAATCATTGTTACGTTTTCATACATCTTTCAAATGTGAAATGTAACAATGATTATGGGACAGATAATATAGAAGCTTATTTTCTGTTTCGCATGACTAGTTGACCAGTACCATAAAAAATAACATTATACCGTATATACTTGTGTATTGTACGACCCCCAAATTTACACTTACAAAAAATGATTTTATCATGTATCTCGTGTATAATGCAAGTTCCTTTTTTGAGAGACCAAATAGACTAACATCTTTTCCTCTATCTCTTTATCCCATCTTCTCGTTAAATAAGTTCAAAAAGTGAAAGAAAATGATAAAAGTATTGTTAGTAATGCTATACTTGTTGCGTAAACACGTACAGCCATAAACAACCGAGCGAGAAACCACTAAACATAAACGTAAATAATGGAAGAGATTCATATTTGCTATGTTTGTATTTTATAATATGATACTAATATGTGAATATTACATGCATTATTATTGGATATAGTTTTATCAAAATCATGTTTATTTTAAATACACCTATACTTTTGACTACAGTAAATGGATATATAATTTGGTCAGTGGCGTAATCAGGGCCAGTAGTACATATACTAATTTTATATCTCATGTATGATGTGCCCTCCTCCACCTTAAAATTAGCTTTAAATTTAGGTCTTCAAAAGTCATGTGATACTGAGTATATACAGTAATTAAAAAGAAAATTTCAAACATTACATGTTTTTGCATTTTTCTTATGTTTGTTTCTTTCTGAATATTGATCAGTAAATAACATTGTTTACTTTTTGAAGAATTCAAATTTCTATATGTTATAGAGTAGTTTCACAGTGGAGGCTTGTATTCCACTAAGTCGGTCCTAAAAAGGTTTGACGTACAAAATGTTAGGAATTTGATATAATAGTTAATGATGCAGCAATCTAGTTGTGGTGGCTGATACTTTAATATCCGACTAACGGTAGTCCAACATCAACTGACTGACCAACTCGCTGAGCGACTGGCGACTGCTACTACTCTTACTTATTATAGGTGGGAGAGTCTATTAACTATAGAATAGGTGTGTTCCAGTATAATACTATATCTCCAAAAGAATATACCAAATTGCTTATTATATATAATACTCTTTTGTTGATGTAGAACCATGTAACACACATACACATGACAGAATAGAAGTCTTTGTGTTATGTGTTTCATCTCTAGGAGGGACTTTCAGGCTAATAATGGTTTCACCATGAGTCAGTTTTATATATTTTGTATTTTTGCATTTATTCTTAAAATTAAATCAATGAAAATGTTTGACTTATGAAGGACATAGAAATTTTGAAATTTGTACCAACATTCAGTAAAAAATATCATGCAGTTTTTATTAATCACATGCTTGAGATTACATACATATATGTAATTTCAAAATAAATTCCTGGTAAACAGTGGCCAGCCACAACTGAAAGTTTCATGCGTTCTCATGTAATAATCAGGTAATATTAATGTTCTGCCAATTAATATGGGATTGAGCTCTTTTTCTCTGGAGAAGATTCCCTTAAGAGTTGCTTATTTTATTTAAATTATGAATTCAATTAAATATGAATCAGAATCTGACAGAATAAAAAACAAATAGGAAATGTTTATAAATTTAATGGTTCACTTTTATTTAAGCTTCATCAGAAACTTCTGGAAATGAATTATGGAAGAGAAAGTTCTGGTACTTTTAGTTCTGTGTTTATTTTTCATTGGAGAGGCAGACCACATGTGTCTTTGTTTTGTGGTGTTAATGTATATGTATATTTGGATTCGAGAGGGCATTTTTATTTTAAAAAAAAAAAAATTTATTTTCCTATTTTTATAGGAATGAGTTGAAGTTATTGGAGAGCCAAGCTCAAATACCAATTGAGTTTGTTTACTTACATGCAAATGCCTTTAGGAAAAGGTATGAATCAATCTCTTCTCAATCCCAGCTATGGGATAAATAGTAGGACAGACTGGATCCTATAGCCAGGGGGAAGAACAACTCTAAATTCAAAACCTGCAACTATGGGTTAAATAGCCACACTGACCTGCAATTGGCCAAGCTCTGTTAGTACAGCAACACCCCTGAAAACACGGTCACTCAAGGAGGAGTTCAACAAATATGAGAGAGAAGGTCCTTGATTTGGAATCCATCTTCTTTCAGTGGCCCTGAGAAGAGTTGATATTAAGTTTTTTGTATTTTATGTCTGCTTTTATCTCTCTAAGATATTTCTAAAGACTGATTTTACTACTACTTCTATGTGCCATGTCTATTCAGGGCATTATCGATCATGGCTCTTCACAATTTCCTTAATAAATTTAGTCTTTTTATTATGTCTCTTAAACCTTCTTCTTCCATTCATTTATTCAAACTCATTAAGTAGGTTATGTACTGATTTCTTCTGTAACTATTGCATTCAATCTATCTTGTGAGTATTCAATTTTCCAAGCCCTCCTTCCTTATGTTCCCTGGAAATTTCAGCTGTCTCTGATTCTGTGTCCTTTTTGTTTCCATTGTCTCTAAAAAAAAAAAAATTTGTCATGTTCGGTCCATGTTATTCTGTTTCCTTCTGTAGAACCACATTTCTGTTGCTTCAAGTCTCTTCTTTCTACACAGATTGTCTAGCATTCACTGTCATATAGGATAACTGATATTACATCACAGTTCAGTACTCTTTTTCTTTGTTTCTAACAAAATTTTTTTCTGTTTCTTTATATTTTGCTTATCTTTTGGAATGCATCTTTCACTATATCAATACGCCCTAGTAATACATTTATAGTTGTTTAATTTCTGAACATTAAGGAATCAGAGAGTCGAGTTCAAATTCCAGTTGAATCCATTATATTCATTTAGGTGCTAATACCCTTGAGAAAGGTATGAATCCTCTCCTCTTCTTCTCCCTGCCCAGCTATGGGTAATAGCAGGACAGACCGGGTTCTATAGCCTTGGATGGCAACTGGCCTACTGCAGAAAAAAATGGCAACCTACTGAGTGAAAAAAATCTGTCTTGTCAGCCATGTATCAAAAGATACATGATCGCATGCATGGCACATAACTGACTGAATTTTTAAAATATACATTTTATCAATTTACATATGCAGATGGTGTCAGAAGTTATGCACCAAAAAAATGATTTCCTGATTTTGCATATTAGCTGCTATAATCGGTTTAAAATATATGTCAGCAATCATATTCTTGATTTTTCTTGGAAAATTGACATTTTTATTTACCTTTTGCTGCTTTTGTTTGCCAATTGCATTTTCATTACTATTGCAATTATCAATTTAATTATCATTATCTTTTTCCATTTTTTTTTTCCCTAAATGTTTAGGGGGTTCAGAGCTTTTTAAGCTTGTCACCACACTATTATCAGTGTTACCTCCCTTTCTCGTCACATGTCATCAGAAGAGGTCATCAGAAAGGTGACAAAAACTGGAAGGAGTGTGAGTAGGAAGCAGCACCTAGACGTACTCACCTTGGCCACCCCTATTTATCACTTTCACTTTTAGTAGCAAATGGCTTTGACACTGACAACCATCTTTGTTTTTAATCAAAAATCTCTCCTTTCTAGTCATGGGGGTTAATAGATTTCAAATAACTTTCACCACCCCCATCCCCCTCCCCCACCACTGCCGCCACTATATTCTTATCATTTTTTGCTCCCCTCTCCCCACCTAACTTTGACAAACTTTTAACATCTATGTTCATCCCTTGTGATCCCTGTCATCAGTCTCCTTTCTTTGCCTTTATCTATTCTATCTATCAGCACCTTGCAATTTTACTTGCAAATTTTTTTTTTCTATTTGTCCCCAAGTAGCATCCTTTTTAGGATTTCTTTTACTATCCCCACACTTTCTTTCTCTCACTCTCTTTACTTTTCACTCTATAACTTTTTCTATTTCTATATTTTTCCTTTTCAGGCCTTTTTCTGCAAGTCGATCCAGAAAAGATTAAAACTCCAATATTCAAATGGTTTAAATAAATATTACTATCAATATGACTAATAAACTTTTTTCTTTTCTACTGCTTCTTTCTTCTTTTTTCTCTTCCACATCTTCTTTCTTCTTTTTTCTCTTCCACATCTTCTTTTTTTTTTTCTCTTCCACATCTTCTTTTCTCTTTTTCTATTCACATCTTCTTTCTTCCACATCTTCTTTCTTCTTTTTTCTCTTCCACATCTTCTTTCTTCTTTTTTCTCTTCCACATCTTCTTTCTTCTTTTTTCTCTTCCACATCTTCTTTCTTCTTTTTTCTCTTCCACATCTTCTTTCTTCTTTTTTCTCTTCCACATCTTCTTTCTCCTTTTTCTCTTCCACATCTTGGATCCTTTTTTTCTTCCACATCTTCTTTCTTTTTTTCTTCCACATCTTCTTTCTTTTTCTCTTCACATTTTCTTTCTTCTTTTTTTCTTTCTTTCTTCTTTCTTTTTTTCTCTTCTCTATGAAATTTTTTTTTTTTCTCTTCCACATCTTCTTTCTTCTTTTTTTTCTTCTTCCACATCTTTTTTTTTTTTTTTTCTCTTTCTTTCTTTTTTCTTTTCTCTTCCACATCTTTTTTTTTTTTTTTCTTTTTCTTTTTCTCTTCCACATCTTTTTTTTCTCTTCCACATTTCTGAAAAACATCTTCCACATTTTCTTTCTTTTTTTTCTCTTCCACATCTTCTTTTTCTCTTCCACATCTTCTTTCTTCTTTTTTCTATTTTTTTTTTTCTTTTTATCTCTCCACATCTTTTTCTTCTTTTTTCTATTCCACATCTTCTTTCTTCTTTTTTCTCTTCCACATCTTCTTTCTCCTTTTTTCTCTTCCACATCTTCTTTCTCCTTTTTTCTCTTCCACATCTTCTTTCTCCTTTTTTCTCTTCCACATCTTTCTTCTTCTTTATCTTCCACATCTTCTTTCTTCTTTTTTCTCTTCCACATCTTCTTTTTCTTTTTTTTTTCTCTTCCACATCTTTATATAATTTCTTTCTTTTTTCTCTTCCACATCTTCTTTCTCCTTTTTTCTCTTCCACATCTTCTTTCTTCTTTTTTCTCTTCCATCTTTTTTCTTCTTTTTCTCTTCCACATCTTCTTTTCTCCTTTTTTTCTCTTCCATTCCACATCTTCTTTCTTCTTTTTTCTATTCCACATCTTCTTTCTTCTTTTTTCTATTCCACATCTTCTTTCTTCTTTTTTCTATTCCACATCTTCTTTCTTCTTTTTTCTATTCCACATCTTCTTTCTTCTTTTTTCTATTCCACATCTTCTTTCTTCTTTTTTTCTATTCCACATCTTCTTTCTTCTTTTTTCTATTCCACATCTTCTTTCTTCTTTTTCTATTCCACATCTTCTTTCTCCTTTTTTCTCTTCCACATCTTTCTTTCTTCTTTTCTTCCACTTCTTTCTCCTTTTTTTCTCTTCCTTTTTTCTCTTCCACATTTCTTTCTTCTTTTTCTCTTCCACATCTTCTTTCTTTCTTTTTCTATTCCACATCTTCTTTCTTTTTTTCTATTCCACATCTTCTTTCTTCTTTTTTCTATTCCACATCTTCTTTTTTTTTTCTATTCCACATCTTCTTTCTTCTTCTTTTTTCTATTCCACATCTTCTTTTCTTCTTTTTTTTCTATTCCACATCTTTTTTCTTCTTTTTCTCTTCCACATCTTCTTTCTCCTTATCTTCTGCTGCTTCTTTTTCCTTTTTCTTTCTTTTTTTCCTTTTTTTTTCTTCCACATCTTCTTTTTTCTCTCTTTCTTTTTTTTTTTTTTTTTTTTTTTTCTTCCACATCTTTCTTTCTTTTTTTTTTCTTCCACATCTTCTTTCTTCTTTTTCTCTTCCACTTCTTTTTTTTTTTTCTCTTCCACATCTTCTTTCTTCTTTTTTCTCTTCCACATCTTCTTTTTCTTTTTTTTCTTCTTTTCCTTTTTCCTTTTTCATTTCCTTTTTTCTTCACATCTTTTTTCTTCCACATCTCCTTTTTTCTTCCACATCTTTTTTTTCTTCCACATCTTCTTTCTCCTTTTTTCTCTTCCACATCTTCTTTCTCCTTTTTTCTCTTCCACATCTTCTTTCTCCTTTTTTCTCTTCCACATCTTTCTTCTTCTTTCTCTTCCACATCTTCTTTCTCCTTTTTTCTATTCCACATCTTCTTTCTTCTTTTTTCTCTTCCACATCTTCTTTCTTCTCTTCCACATCTTCTTTCTTCTCTTCCACATCTTCTTTCTTCTCTTCCACATCTTCTTTCTTCTCTTCCACATCTTCTTTCTTCTCTTTTTTCTTCTTTCTTTCTTCCACATTTTTCTTCTTCTTCACACTTCTTTTTCTTCTTTTTTTTTTTCTTTCACATCTTCTTTTTTTTCTTCCACATCTTTTTCTTCTTTCCACATCTTCTTTTCTCCTTTTTTTTTTTCTCCTTTTTTCTCTTCCACTTTTTTTTCTCTTCCACATCTCCTTTTTTCTAGAATCTTCTTTCTTCTTTCTTTCTTCTTTCCACTTTTTCTCTTCCAGGATTCTTCTTTGTTCCTTTTTTTTCTTCCACATCTTTTCTTTTTTTTTTCTTCCACATCTTTCTTCTTCTTTTTCTTCACATCTTCTTTCTCCTTTTATATTTTTCTTCTTCTTTTTTTTTCTCTTCCACATCTTCTTTTTTCTTCCATTTCTTTTTTATCTTCCACATCTTCTTTCTTCTCTTCCACATCTTCTTTCTTCTCTTCCACATCTTTTTTCTTTTCCACATTCCTTTTTCTCTTCCACATCTTTCTTCTCTTCCACATTCATCTTTCTTCTTTTTTCTCTTCCACATCTTCTTCTTTCTTTTTTCTCTTCCACATCTTTTTCTATTTTCCACATCTTCTTTTCCTTTTTTTCTTTTTTTTCATTCTTCTTTTCTTTTTCTTTCCACATCTTTTTTTTTTTTTCCACATCTTCTTTCCTTTTTTCTTCCACATCTTCTTCTCCTTTCTTTTTTTCTTCTCTTCACATCTTTTTTTTCTCTTCCACATCTTCTTTTTTCTTTCTTTCTTCTTTTTTTCTTTTCTTTTTTCCTTCCAGATTTTTCTTTTTTTTTTTCCACATCTTTTTTTCTTTCTTTCTTTCATCTTTTTTTTCACATCTTCTTTTTCTTTTTTTTCTTCCACATCTTTTTTCTTCTTTTTTTCTTTTTCTTTTTTTTTTTTCTCTTCCACATCTTTTTCTTTTTTTTTTCTTTTTCTTTTTTTTCTTCTTTTTCTTTTCTTTTCCACATTCCTTTTTCTCTTCCACATTCCTTTTTTTCTTTCTCCTTTTTCTTTCTTCCTTTTTTTTCTCTTCCACATCTTCTTTTCCTTTTTCTCTTCCACATCTTCTTTTTCTATTTTCTTTCTCTTTTTCTTTCATTTCTTTCCACATCTTCTTTTTTTTTTCATCTTTTTCTTCTTTCACATTTTTCTTCTAAATTTTTTCTTCTTTCTTCTCCTTTTTCTTCACTTTTTTTTTTCTCTTCCATATCTTCTTTTTCTCTTCCACATTTTTTTTTCTTCCACATCTTCTTTTTTCTTCCACATCTTTTTTTTTCTTTAAACATCTTCTTTTTTTCTTCTTTTTTCTTCCACATCTTCCACATCTTCTTTTTTCTAAAATCTTTTTTTCTCTTCATCTTCTTTTTTCTTTTTCTCTTCTTTCTTTTTCTTTTTTTTCTTCCACATCTTCTTTCTTTTTTTCTTCCATCTTCTTTTTTCTTTTTTCTCTTCCACATCTTATTTCTTCTTTTTCCATTTTCTTTCTTCTTTTTTTTTCTCTCTTCCACATCTCCTTTTTTTCTTCCACATCTTTTTTTTCTCTTCCACATCTTTTTTTTCTCTTCCATATCTTTTTTTCTCTTCCATCTTTTTTTTCTCTTCCACATCTCCTTTTTCTTTGTTTCTCCTTTTTTTCTCTTTTCTTTTCTTTTCATTCCTTTTTCTCTTCCACATCTTCTTTTTTCTCTTCCACATCTTCTTTCTCCTTTTTTCTCTTCCACATCTCCTTTTTTCTCTTCCACATCTCCTTTTTTCTCTTCCACATCTCCTTTTTTCTCTTCCACATCTTCTTTTTTCTCTTCCACATCTTCTTTCTTCTCTTCCACATCTTCTTTCTTCTTATTTCTCTTCCACATCTTCTTTCTTCTTGTTTCTTTCTTTCTCTTTTTCTCCTTGTTCTTGTTCTCAATCAATAATTTATTGATTTGATTTTTTTACAGTCTATCAACCTTTTGCAAGTTATTTAAAGCCAGAAAATATTTTAAAGTGTAAGAATTTTTTTTGAGAGATGATGAGTTACTGATACACGTCCTACTAATTAACCCATGGCTGGAGGGATAAGACATGGATTCATATCTTCCCAGTAAATAAATATCTGAAGTTAAATAAAATTTTACATATATAACATTAAATTTAAATTGTTTTTTCAAATATATTTGTTGCTAATCAAAGAGCACAAGACAATAGAGGTGAAGCTTTCATTGATTATTGAACTTGCTAAACTATTGCTACTTAGTCTGGGGGGTGGCTACATCCACATTACATTGAAACATTAATTCCCATTCAGTCACTGGTATTAAGCAACATCATGCCTAGTCAGTACCTAGATGGGTGACTGCCTAGGGATATTATGCACTTTAAGCTTGGATGTGCTGGTGGTGTAATGGATAATCGGTCAGAATTGTTAATCAGAGTGCCAAGTTTCAATTCCTGTTGCATTCACAGAAATAGCCTTGGGAAAGGTATGAATCCACCTTTTCCCTCAGCTACAGGTTAATTATTAAGACTTGTATCATTAAACCCTTATTAACTCAAAAAAAATTTTTACAATCTAAAAATATTTTCTAGCTTTAAATAACCTGCAAAGGGTTGATAAGTTGTAGAAAACAATCAGTATTAGGTCATTGACAAAGGCTTGCTCATTACTATATTATGGTCAGTACTCAAATTATTTAAACCAAGTCTGCCACAAGGTCATAAAAGTAGAGCACTCAGGATTAAACTTCTAACTATCACATTCTGTAAGCAAACTTATCAGACTTTAAATTTGCCACACAAAAATACACTTGCTTTCTTCATTCGCAAAAAAAAAAAAAGCTAACACCCCCTTAATAAAAAAAAAATGTGAACACCACCAACTTAACTTAAAAATAGAGTAAATCCAATTTTTTTCATAAGTTATTCTTAGCATTGCTTGAGAATGGAAACTAGCTCCGAATTTTAAAGTTAAATTTTAAGATTTAAGTCTCAGTTTCGAAACAGTAATTTCTGTGTAGCGATGGTGACATATTTTAAAAAAATAATTATAATATTATATGTAACAAGCACTGTTTTTTTTTTTTAAATAAAAATAAATGTTAAAGAACTCTGGATTAAAAATCTGACTGTTCTTTTCTCTTATTTGAACATGTATAGACTTCAAAGCTCATGAGAATTAAGCAGAGATATTAATTACCTCTCTTTATTGGTCATATGTATTAGTACCTTTTTGTTTATCATTTCACCTCAAGCAAGGCAAGAAAGCCACTAAGAGGCAAGTGTAAAAGAATATGAGAAACAAAAACAAAACATTAAGCAGGGGAAACAATAAAAAAAACTTGAATTAAGACAGAAAATATCAACTGACATTGTGCAAGAGAAGAAATTGTTAGAATAAAACTTACAATTGTATCTAGCCATTTCAGCTGTAAAATGATGTGACCCAGCTGCCAATCTAGTACTGCACTCAAATTTGTCAAGTTGAGATACCAAAGTACTGTACTTATATGCACAATTTAAACTTAATGAAGCAATTATATTTCTAATATCTTCAGAAAATGTCGTACGGTAATAGATTAAATTTCTAATGAAGGTTATAGGCAATTAAATGACAATGTGGGGAAATTCTCTGTAATGTGTTTTAGCCTCTAAAAGGACTTTCTTCGACTAAAATGTTCTTATTAATGGAATTGTGTCAGATGGATGGGTTGGGGGAGATATTAACGCAAGTGCTGGTTATAATCATGCATTCGGTGGAAGCAGTGAAGATGTGGGAATGCTAAATTTAAATTTTTTGTTTTAAAATTATAAATTTATTTTGTTGCATCTGACATGTCTGGATGCACACCTTAGCCAATCTTATTCAGTTTCCCTATACTTTTGTTTCTGTTTTTATCAATGCAGTTTTTAAATATTATATCATTTTTAAATATTATATTATAAATATTGTTTTTAATATATTATATTATAAATATTGTTTTTAAATATTATATTATAAATATTGTTTTTAATATATTATATTATAAATATTGTTTTTAATATATTATATTATAAATATTTTTTTAATATATTATATTATAAATATTGTTTTTAATATATTATAAATATTATTTTAATCAATATATTATATTATAAATATTGTTTTAATATATTATATTATAAATATTGTTTTAATATATTATATTATAAATATTGTTTTTAAATATTATATTATAAATATTATTTTTAATATATTATAAATATTGTTTTTAATATATTATAAATATTGTTTTAATATATTATAAATATTGTTTTTAATATATTATAAATATTGTTTTTTAATATATTATAAATATTGTTAATTAATATATTATATTATAAATATTTTTTTTAATATATTATAAATATTGTTTTTAAATATTATATTATAAATATTGTTTTTAATATATTATATTATAAATATTATTTTTAATATATTATATTATAAATATTGTTTTTAATATATTATAAATATTGTTTTTAATATATTATATTATAAATATTATTTTTTAATATATTATATTATAAATATTGTTTTTAATATATTATATTATAAATATTATTTTTAATGAATTATATTATAAATTTTGTGTTTTTAATTTTATATTATAAATATTTTTTTTAATATATTATATTATAAATATTGTTTTTAATATATTATATTATAAATATTGTTTTAATATATTATTTATAAAATATTTTTTAATATATTATAAATATTAAATGTTTAAATAGCACCTTAAAAATTATGATTTTGTCTTGCTATGCAAGGCTATAACATTTAGCTTGTCATAGATAAGATGTTAGTTATGACATGATGGACAACTTTAATTGAAGATTTATCTCCCTTGGCTTGTAAATTCAATGCTGATTGTGGTATTGACAGACAAGTGAGAAAAGGGTTTTCTGACTCAGAGAGGACACAATACAATGTAACACGAACATTCCTGTCTGTTGGAAACTACACAGAATTTCTCACACCCATTCATTTTCTTTTGTTTACATTGTAAGTGAAATATAAGCCACCTGAGGTTATTTTGATTGTTTCTTAACATATCTACATAATTCTTTTACTTATATATAAAGCTTTTATATAAATAGATAAGATCAGGGATTGGCATCTACCAGTATGTAAATATTAGAATATATTTCTATGTATATCTTAGTCTGTAACTATCCAAGCACCACTTCCAACCAAAATGGTTTTCTATGATAAGCAAAGGAACACAGCTTATGGCCACATCATGTTGAAACATTGGTTCCCCTATGATCACTAAAGTTAAGCAACATTGAGCCTGGTCAGTACCTAGATGGGTGACCGCTTGGGAATACCAGGTGCTGTAAGCTTGGACATGCAGGTGATGTAATGAGCTCAGTACTTAAATGGGTAAGTGCTTGAATGTTCAGGTGGTATAATTATGGCCAATTCACATTGAAACACAGGTTCTCATACGATCACTGAAGTTGAGCAATGTCAAGCCTGTCAGTACTGAGATGGGGTGACTGCTTGGGAATACCAGGTGTTGTAAGCTTGGATGTGCAGGTGGTATACTTACAGCCAATTCACATTGAAACACCGATTCTCATAGAATCACCAAAGTTAAGCAATGTAACTAATATATATATATATAATTTACAGACAGTACCGTTTTGCTGTATCACAGCTCTTCAGTGCAACTAAACAACCGAATACCTCAAGCCAGTCAGTTTCTACCACTGAGCTATCTTCATTTGACAGAATGAGGCAGCTAAATCTAGCATATTGTTTTTACAAATGTCAATCAGCTGGAGTGCTCCATTCATTTTACTGAAGAGCTTTGCATTAACACAGGTGGCTATTTTTCTGGCTTTAAATAACCTGTAATAAGTTAAGCCATAGAAAATGAATGAATCAATCAAAACCAAATATTTCCTTGAGCCACATGTGGTTTTGGCTACCCATCATTGACCAATTCTATTGTAGCAAGTGATCTTTTCTGAGTACTCCACTCTTGCGACATTGTACGATACTCTAATGATAATATAGCTGTTTCCTTATAAGAAAATATTCAGCAAGCAGCTAGGCCTACTTTCCATTGAAATTTGTCTTCTAAAAATAGGAAAATAGGTTTCTCAAGTTCAGTGATTGTGATTGTTACTACACTTTCTAATATTGATGGGGTGGGGGTGTTCCTTCCTAACCTTTTATTTGAAGTGTGGAACGGGGTGTATAGTGTAATAGATAATGGCTTGAAATGATAAATAAAGCCAAGTTCAAATTCCAGTCAAGATCATTACATTCACTTAAGTGCAAATACCCTTGTGAAAGATATGGATTCATCTCTTCACCACCCAGCTATGGGTTGAATAGCAAGACAGACTGGGTTTCATAGCCTTAGGTGGCAACCAGTCTACCACATAAAGAAAGGCTGCCTATTGCAGGAAAATCTTCTGCCTAGTCAGTCATGAATCAAAAGAGACCTGACTGCCTATGTGTGTATCACATATGGCATTAAACTGACTGACTTAATGTGGAATGCCAATATCTTGATTGTGTCATTGACTTTGAATTACCATTTTAGTTGTTGCTACTGTTGAAAGTCCTCAAGTGATGTGGCTTCTGTTTGTGATTCTGTAGCACTAGTTCACTTGGTCAGTCATTTTTAACCATTGATCTTAGACAGCTGTCAGTTTAGATATTTTTGAATGGCTTTAGCAACACATGTATAAAATCCTTATGAAAGTCTCAACCTGACAAGACTAAGAACACGATTCAAAATATTCAGGTTAGTTTTGATTTTGTAGGAAGTTACGGTGTTGGTTGAAAGTACTACTAGCACAGCTTATTTCATGTTCAATTTCTTTATCTCTGAGGCTAACTGATCCATAGACCAAGGCATTAAAATGTTTGGCATTTATTAATTCCACATTCAGGTGGCATCACTGCTTTCATTCCAATCCCACATTATAGTTCTTGTTTTGGAAGGGTTTGAGAGAAGGAAAGAGGAATAGATATAGATTGAAGGAGAGGAAGATAGATGGATATGAAGGTAGGTGGGATGGATGGATAGATAGATGTGAATGGATAGATAGGGGGGGGAATTAGATATAGATGGAGTAATGGCATGGAGGGGGAGGGATAGATATGGGTGAATAAGTGTGAGTGGTGGGGTGGATGAATAGGTATCTGATAAGGATGGTATAAAAAGAAATATATATATATATATATATATATACAATGTATATATATATATATAATGTGTGTGTGTATATATATATATATATATATATATATATATATATATATATATATATATAAGCAAATATATGGATATAAATCCGACAGTATGAAAGAAAATACAGAAAAAAACAAAATTCTGAATATGCATTATTAATGTTAAAATAGTAATCGGACGTTTGGTCTATTTAAGACCATCTTCATGGACATTTTCATTTAAACATAATTAACATTTTATACAGATCATATTTAAATGCTGATCTGTATAAAATTTTTATTATCTGTCTAAATTAGTTGGGCTCTTATCCATCGTCTTTTATGTTAAAATTATAAGTTATAATGTTAATTATGTTTAAATGAAAATGTCTATGAAGATGGTCTTAAATAGACCGAAACGTTTCACTTTTAAAACATTCATATTCAGAATTTTGTTTTTCTGTATTTTTCTTCATATATATATATATATGTAATGTGTGTATATATATATATATATATATATATAAATGTGTGTGTATATATATATATATATATATATATATATATATATATATATAATATAAATGTGTGTGTATATATATATATATATATATATTTTGTGTGTATATTTTTTTTTTTTTTTTTTTTTAAGCATTTCAGGAAAAGCAAGGGAGCCACTATCGGTTAAGGGGGGGTTACAGAAAATAGGAAGATCAGATAGGAGTGATAGAAGAAAGGATGAGGGTAGTGGATAGATTAAGGCAACTGAGATGTCGATTGACATTACACTTGAAATGGAGATTATAACTCTCAGGGAAACAGGAGAAGGGAAGAGTTTCCACAGGCGAGAGGTGCGAGACATGAAGCTATTAGAGTAGAAGAGACGGCTACATTTATGAGTTTCAACAGTGAAGGGGGAGAGCGGGATTAAGCCTCAGAGGCGCTTGAACTCATGAAGTTTGGGAACCAGCGAATGCAGTTCCTCGAGCAATTTCCATGAAAGTATTTTAGAACAGACAGAGGAGGGAATATATGGTGCGTCTGTGAGAAAGTATCAGTGTGTATATATATATATATATATATATATATATATATATTATTGAGGAGGCACGGTGGAGTAATGGATAGCGGCTTGATTGAGGAATCTGAGAGCCGAGTTGAAAAAATTCCAATTGAATCCATTACATTCACTTACAAGCTAATACCCCTGGGATAGGTATGAATTCTCTCCTTCTCCCTCCAGCTATGGGTAAATAGCAGAACAGACTGGGTTCTATAACCTTGGATGGCAACTGGTCTAGGTGATGGACAGCTCTGAATTCAAAACCTGCAAAGGGTTGTTTGGGGACCTTGTGGCACTTAGTGCACCAGGACTCTATATTCGGCCCTTCAAAAAGTGTGGATGGTCCTGCATGAAACCTTCACCACTATAATCAAAATCTCATGCTGTTGTTGGGCTGTCAGTTTCCTGGGAATTGATCTGCTTGATCCTCATACGTCGAATTCGACGGAAAAGTTGAGTATATATTAAAGAAACTGATAGGAAGACAATTTTTTTCTTAGAGAAATTATTTCATTAGATTCACATTTCAATTAAAAGTGAAGTTTCTATAAAAATAAGTGTAATTTCTTGTTCTTGTCTATCTCTAGCTGCCAAAATGTGTAAATTTGTTTTGTGAAATGAACACAATTTTTATAAATTTTGCATAAGTATTCCATGCAACAAAAAAAAAAAAAATTTTTTAAATGTCTCTTATTTATGCAAATTAAGTAATTGATAACTAAAGCTTTTATTTTTTTAAAGATTATTCACATTTTTCAAAAGATTCTGAACAACGAAAATTATCTTTTTAATGTTAACTTCTAAAATTTGTTTCCTTGTTTTGCATAGATGTTGAACCACAAAATCTCTACTCCAATGATTTTTTTTTTTCTTTTTTACCATGGAGCTATCATATGATTAAAAAAAACTTGATAAATTACAAAATATCAAATGTAACTTTTGAAGATTTGTGGTTCTTGGAGGATATCACCTTTCAGCCATAATGATTTCAGTTCTAGATTACATTACCCCTTTTTTTTTTTTTTTTTTTTTTTTTAGATATTTAATTTCTAGGCATTTCTGGAGATGATTTATTTCTGGGCATTTCCGGAGATGATTTATTTCTGGGCATTTCCGGAGATGATTTATTTCTGGGCATTTCTAGATATTCTAGATTACATTATTTTGGGTTTGTGATGGGTAGAAGTGGAACAAGAAAAAGTTGGTTGCTACTTTGCACATTCAGATAAATTTACAAAGAATTTCCGGAGATGATTTATTTCTGGGCATTTCCAGAGAATAAAAGACCTGGTTAGTTTTCAGTCAAGTTCAAACTGAGAAACTGATAATTTTTTTCTATTTATTACCCCCTCTCCTGTATGTTTCTTAAAATCACCTATGGAAATATCATAATGAATGATATATAATGATTAGATATTTTTAATGTAACAACCCTAATTTCATAAATTTATTTGCAAATGTCTTCAAGAAATATTTAAATATAAAAAAACAAACATTCAAACTATAAACAGAATTTTTTTAAAACTCAATTTTATATTTTGAATCTTTTCACTTTGCTATGTCTAAGATAATTGGAAAGAAAAACTTGAGGCAATAGAAATATGGTTCTACAGAAGGATGCTGAGAATACCATGGATAGAGCATGTAAGCAATGAGGAAGTTTTTAAGGAAACTGGAAACTAAAAGGACATTCATACTTAGAATCAGAGAGGGCTGTGGAAAGATAAAAAGGGAGAATGAAAGAAAAGGGATATAAAAAAGAAAGAATGGTGCTGTTGGAGAGAGTGAGGGAAAGAGAAATAAGAGATTAGTATGAAGAGATAGATGGTGAGAAAAGGGAAGCAAAAGAGAAAGGTACAGAGAGCTAAAAGGGAAGCAAAAGAGAAAGGTACAGAGAGCTAAAAGGAAAGAAAGAGAAAGGTACAGAGAGCTGAAAGAAAGAGAAAGGTACAGAGAGCTGAAAGGAAAGAAAGAGAAAGGTACAGAGAGCTGAAAGGAAAGAAAGAGAAAGGTACAGAGAGCTGAAAGGGTAGCAAAAGAGAAAGGTACAGAGAAAAAAAGGGAAGCAAAGAGAAAAGGAGCTAGCTAAAGGGAAGCAAAAAGAGAAAGGTACAGAGAGCTAAAAAGGGAAGCAAAAGAGAAAGGTACAGAGAGCTAAAGGAAGCAAAAGAGAAAGGTACAGAGAGTAAAGGGAAGCAAAAGAGAAAGGTACAGAGAGCTAAAAGGGAAGCAAAAGAGAAAGGTACAGAGAGCTAAAGGGAAGCAAAGAGAAAGGTACAGAGAGCTAAAAGGGAAGCAAAGAGAAAGGTACAGAGAGCTAAAGGGAAGCAAAAGAGAAAGGTACAGAGAGCTAAAAGGGATATAAAAAGAGAAAGGTACAGAGAGCTAAAAGGGAAGCAAAAGAGAAAGGTACAGAGAGCTAAAAGGGAAGCAAAAGAGAAAGGTACAGAGAGCTAAAAGGGAAGCAAAAGAGAAAGGTACAGAGAGCTAAAAGGGAAGCAAAAGAGAAAGGTACAGAGAGCTAAAAGGGAAGCAAAAGAAAAGGCATAGAGAGCTAAAAGGGAAGCAAAAAGAGAAAGGTACAGAGAATAAAGGGAAGCAAAAGAGAAAGGTACAGAGAGCTAAAAGGAAGCAAAAGAAAGGTACAGAGAGCTAAAGGGAAGCAAAAAGAAAGGAACAGAGAGCTAAAAGGGAAGCAAAAGAAAGGTACAGAGAGCTAAAAAGGGAAGCAAAGAGAAAGGTACAGAGAGCTAAAGGGAAGCAAAGAGAAAGGTACAGAGAGCTAAAAGGGAAGCAAAAGAGAAAGGTACAGAGAGCTAAAGGGAAGCAAAAAAGAGAAAGGTACAGAGAGCTAAAAGGGAAGCAAAAAGAGAAAGGTACAGAGATAAAAAGGGAAGCAAAAAAGAAAGGTACAGAGAGCTAAAAAGGAAGCAAAAGAGAAATATACAGAGAATAAAAAAGGGAAGCAAAAAGAGAAAAGGTACAGAGAGCAAAAAAGGGAAGCTAAAAAAAAGAGAAATACAGAGAGCTAAAAGGGAAGCAAAAGAGAAAGGTACAGAGAGCTAAAAAGGAAGCAAAAGAAAGGTACAGAGAGCTAAAAGGGAAGCAAAAGAGAAAGGTACAGAGAGCTAAAAAGGGAAAAAGAAAGGTACAGAGAGCTAAAAGGGAAGAAAGAGAAATAAAAAGAAGCAAGAGAGGAGTTAAAGAAAGATAGAATGAGAGAGAAGAATAACAACAAATAATTTTATTCAAGACTCATTGTGCAATTTAGAATTCACAATTCTTAGAGGATGCACGGTGGAGTAATGGATACCGGCTCAGATTGAGAATGGGAGAGCTGAGTTCGAATTTCAGTCAAATCCATTGCATTCACTTACGTGCTAATAGCCTTGAGAAAGGTATGAATCATCTTCTTCTCCCCCTGGCTATAGGTAAATAGCAGGACAGACCAGGTTTGATGGCAACTGGTCTACCGTAGAAAGAAATTTCAACCTACTGCAGGAAAAAATAATCAGTCATGGTCGCCTAAGCGTGTATCACGCATGGCACATAACTGACAGAATTTGTTTTTGTGATATGGTCAGCAAATGCTGGACAATCTTCTCGCAGATGAAGAGAAAACTTGAGGCACAAGTGATATGGCTCTACAGAAGGATGCTGAGAATACCATGGATGGAACATGTAAGCAACAAAGAAGTTTTTAAGGAAACTGGAAACAAAAAGAACACATACTTAGAAACAAAAAGAGACAATTCAAATTTCTTGGGAACATAATCAGGAAAGAGGGCTTGGAGAAATTGACTCTCACAGGGCATGTTGATGGCAAGAGTAACAGAGGGAAACGGCAAGTAACCTACCTAACAAGCTTGTGTAAATGAATGGCAAAATGATGGTGAAAAGACAAAACTTTCTAAGAGCTAGAGAGGATAGGAAGTTGTGGAGAGCCGTGATTGTCCACATCCTGAACGGACACAGCACATAGAAGATGTCAAAGATTGTTCATAGAATTATCTTTTAAAAAGAAACATAAAGTATACAGATTGGACATTGCTCATCTGGCAAGCTTGGTATCAGACATGAGCTGAAGTAGATTTTTTAGACCATTTTTTATGTGCTGTTTTCCTTCAGGGTATGGGCAGTCATGGTTCTCCACAACTTCCTATTCCTTTGTACCACAAAGTAATGTCTATCTCCTTACAATCCCTCTCAATCTCTGTCTATTTAACAGATAGGTTTCCAGACCAGTGAAACATAAGTTAAAAATGGCAAGACAACACATATACTCTCTTGTATTACTGAGATAACTTACTCCTGGGTAATCAAATAAACACTCCTCTATTGCTTGTTAATTTGGGACCCCCCGACAATACTGGAGCTTATTAGGATATTTTGGAAATGTTCTATATTAGGAAGGCATAGTGGAGTAATGGATAGCAGCTTGGATTGAGGAATCTGAAAGCTGTGTTCAAATTCTAGTTAAGTTCATTGCATTCATTCATGTGTTAATACTCTTGGGAAAAGTATGAATCCATCCCCTCTTCCTGCAGCTATGGATAAATAGCAGGCCAAATTAGGTCCTGTAGCCTTGGTTGGTGACTAGTCTAGGATAAGGAAAACTCTGACCAGTCTGGAGAGGGTTGAGCTCTGTCAGGATATCTTGCCCAGGAAACACTACTGCTACTGCGGTACACTTGGTGCTCCTACGACCCTAATGGGTTACTTGAATCTGTGTGTTTGTTAGGAAAGCATTTTTCTGCAAACTTTCTTTTAGTGGATATTGAATTCTTTTAAATTCTAAACACAACAATATTCAAAACAAGTGAAATATTTTTGATTTCATTAACCCATTTTTAGATGGATATTTTTTTCTTTCCTTTTTTTTTTTTTTTCAAGGATGTGTTTTTAATAATTTCCCAACTATTCCATTTATTGAGATCCCCCCCGTTTGTTAGATTTTTTTTTTTTTCCACTCCTCAAGTTTATTCATTTTATTTTTTTGTTTCCTTCTTCCCCACCAATTTATTACAAACTCCACTTTTTTAATTGCTACCTGTGAGAGTATATAGACCTAATCCAACATCAAACTAAGGGCATCAGTGTAAACATATTTTTATTTTTAATCGATTTCACCCCATGCAAGGCAGTAAAGCCACTGAGACACAAGGGGTTACTGGGTGTGGAAGAGTTAGAAACAGAAACATTGCTAAGGAGAAAGAACAAAAGAGTAATAAAGAAAACAGTAGATAACTATGTTGCATTTAAATTTTTGAATATCAACAAGGAATACTCATTGCTTTTTAATCAAATATGCATAAATGATTTTAAAAAGATTTTTTTTAAGATTGTAAAATAAAAACATTTCTAAAATAATTTCATTCATTTGTGAATAAGTCTTGAAAGTTTCATTAAAATTTGATGATTATTTGATTTTTGTAATTTAGAAATCAGTGTTTTTCACTGCCAAAAAAGATGCCAAAATTTGCTATGCTAAGAAAAAACAAAATTTTTAACCAAAATTTCAAACGTTTTAAAAGTATTAAAAATATAATTAAATAATCAAAAAAACACTTTGTCTTTCCTCTTAACAAAGATTTTGACAATAAAACTTGGTTTTTATTAGGTTTGGGGCATTTTTTTTTAATCATGGTATGATTTTTTTTTTTTTTTAAACGAATTAGTGGAGGTACCTAATATATAGGTATAGATTGTCTTCATGGGATAATAGTCTTGAAGATTAAAGTGTTGGTTCATGAATTTTGAGTGATAGTAATTTTGAGTTCAATCCCTAGGCCAGGTAGATGAGGAACATTCGTTGGTTTTTAATCAAACATGCATAAATTATTTTAAAAAGATTTAAAAGATTTTAAAATAAAAAAACGTTTCTAAAATAATTTCATTCATTTTGTGAATAAATCCTGAAAATTTCATTAAAATTTGACAATTATTTGATTGGTGTTTTTCACTGCAAAAAGACGCCAAAATTTGCTATAGTAATTTATAGTCTGCCTGCTGAAACAAGTGAAAAAACACAATTAGCAATCAATTTAAAATATCCTGAAGATTACGTTGATCAACAGACACCTGAAGAAAGCCAGAGTGTACAAAAACTGAAACATTGCGATAATAACAAAGATATGGACATTAGTTCAACTGAAACTGCCCATTTAAGTAGAGGAGTCTTAAAATCTCAAATATTGTAATGTGCAATTACAAGTGCAGTTTGATTCCTGGGTTTGTGGAACAAAAATTGTTTGGAAATTATGAAAAGCAAATGATTTTCTTCATACACTCAAATATGTGCACCCAGAGTTAAGAGGTTAAGAGTACAAGAGATGTGCCATTATTGTATCAGACTATTTAAGTGTTTGGAAAATGTTGAAATCAATCATAGTTCAGTTTCTCTTTCAGCATGTAGAGTTCGTCATACAATTTATACTTTGATATTTAAACTGAAAGTCAAAAATAGCACTTTAAAATGTACTGTTAACAGACTTAGTTTACTTCAGGAAATTTAGGAAAGCATATTATATTTGAGAAACAATATTTTCCTTTGGCCTTCAAATGTAAAGGACAATTGGGTTTAATTTTATAAATATGAACCCTTTGTCTTTTTTTAATCATTATATACTTAAAATTACACAGATGAGAATGAAAAACATTTTATGAGAAAATTAGATGAAAATCCAGTACAAGGCCATTTCTATCCATATGGGTACAGGTAGGTAAATTTTTGTAAATGTCTGCTTATGCAATATATATAAATAATAGAGAGAGAGAGAGAGGAATGTATGCATGTTTGCAAATTATATCTTTATAATATGTTAAGGCACTTAGATATATCTTAAGTATACTTCTACATAAATGTATTCCATGACAATTTTGTGCATATATATATATATATATATATATATATATATATATATTACTGATTTATATATATTTAACTTAGATGTGGCACAAGCCTGCTAGTATGGAGCACCCAGTGAGGATTGAACTCACTCCTCAATCGTAATTTTCCAAGAAAACAACAAAGGGTGTATTTATCAATAAATATATATATATATATATATATATATATATATATATGCACACACATACAAGCTGAATATAGTTACATTTCTTTTGGCTATCAGTTCACAATGAGGTTATTAATGAAATATTTGAAATAATGTACCTGTTTCTGTTCTCTTAATGTGTACGGATGAATGTAAACATTTTGTGTATGTCCAATTTTCTTGTATAAGATGAAATATACAATTTAATTTATATTTCAAGGTAATCTATTAGAATAAATAAAAAAAAAGGAAAGAAAAGCACTTGGACTAGTTGGAAATCCCTGCATAATGACAGCAGTTTGGTCTTTCTTGTTCCATAATGTTGCATTTCTTCCACTGAATTACAAAAGGCTTTTCAGTGTATGCCATCTTTTCTCTCATCTCTAGAGAGATTATCATTTCACCAAATAACGCCAAAACAAAAACAAAGCTGTTGGTGACATTTTATTCTGTGTTTTTGTCTTTCTCGCTCATTCTCAGAATCCAATATTAAATGCTTTGTCATTGGTGTACATACTGCATGAAGGATATTCTTTTGATAAGCTGGCCGAGGGATTTCAATAAGCCCCCATCAAGGTTGAATGCCAAGGGTAGATGCAGGAAGAGAATTCATTAGGTTGCTGTCCCATGACTATTTGAAGAAAGACTGAAATCAAAACTTCTGGAGATTGACTTTGCCGAAGCATATTCAAAATGAAAGAGTAATAAGCATAAACAGTATTGTTTTTTTTTTTGTTTTGTTTTTTTAGTCATTTTGCCCCATGCAAGGCAATGAAGCCACTAAAACACAAAGAGTTGAAAGAATAAGAAAAAAAGAAACATTATTATGGAGCAAAAACAATAAAAGAGTAATCAAAAAGGCAGTAGGAAACAATTGATGTTGCATTTGAAGTTTTAAAGACCAAAGCAATGGAGCCTGAAGAAATTTCCACATGCAAGAAGTGTGAGAAAAGAAACTGTTAGCCAGAGAACTTATGGTTATATCGAGCCAAGTCAACTCTAAATTGATGAGATCTTGTTAGCAATGTAGTACTGTCCTTAAATTCATAAAGTCTAGGTACCATATTGTAAAGTTCCTCCAAGCAATTACAATGAAAGTATTTTTAGAAAAGACACAAGTACATCACTGCAGTAGAAAAGTGACTGAAGTTGAGATGCCAGGTCAGATTCAATAATATTACTGATTCTTTGGATTTTATCAAGAATCAAAATATATAGCAGGAACACTAGACCATATGTGGCAGCAATATTCTTAAGCATGGACGAATAGTAAACTTATAAATATGTAAGATAGATTCTGGAGCAAAAAATTGTCTTGCATGATACAGTGAACCAACTTTCTTAGCAGCTGACCTATCAATTACGTATTAATTTATAGAAGAAGAGTTGTACACAGATTTCTTTCTAAGTATTTTTATGAAAAATTGATAAGATTTAATTTTTATCCCTTGTTGAATTATTTTCATATTGAAATTTATCCTTCAGAAATAATTTCAGAAATTTAATTTCTCTTTTCATTTTAATTATTCCCCTCCTCGAATTATCCAAGGACAAACAGTTGATTCGGTAACTATAATGTTGCATTCCAAGGTACTTGGTACAATTATCAGTTGTAACTGCTACTAAAGGTGGCAGTGTCTCAATTTTAAGGACAGTATCTCCTTGCCATTGATAGGGATGTTCCTCCATCAAGCAAATGTAAGATATAATATGAAAAATCATTTTGCCGTTGTATGTACCACCAGTTTTTGCCAACTCTCTGTATTCCAAATTTAAGATTTTTTTTTGTTGGAGTTTAATCTCCTATTTACAATACCTAATGTTCTCTCATCTAAGTACTCACTAGGTTTGATGTTGCTTAACCTCGGTGATTGAGCAAGTACCAGTGCTTTCAGCATGATTTGACTATAGCCAATTTTATATTATGATTAATAGAAATTAGTGACTAAATTTATTGAAAGTTCAAGTTTAAAAAATCTTGACTAATTCTTCTGAGCAGAAGCACCATAGAATCTAAGGAATTATTTTTTGATCAACAGAACAAAATATCCATCTATAAAACAAGGTGTATCTGTACCTATATATGTGTATGCCTTCGCCCATATGCAAGAGATGTCTAAAAAGTAAAGTACAAATGTTTACTTTTTACGGTAAGACATTTGTCCTTTTTATCATTAAGACATTTGTCCTCATCTTTATTCCCATATTCACAATGTTTTGGGCGTTGTACATTCCAGCCTTCTTAGGTGATATACTTTGGAATTTCAAACTGAACCCTTTATTAAGTCGGGGGTGGGTTGGGGAGGTAGATTGTTCTAGTTCCACATGCCATGCCTTTTTTTTACTTTTTTTTTGGGATATCTCAATTTCATTTAATTCCCTTTAGTAACTCAACTCTCAAATTTGTTATTCACCTCTGCAGTGGCCAGGTATTGAACTCCCATTCATGCAAATATTTTGTATACAACTTTTTTTTTCATGCAATTTGGAATCATCAGGGCTGCTGAGGATTTCATTGTGTATGAAACTGAGTTGTGTTTCCGGCTGATAAAGAAAAAAAGAAAATGTATATATATTTATTAATAATATAAATTATAGGGGTCTGTTATTATACATCAAGGACTATTTTATTAGCACCAGCACTCATTGTGCAATATTTATATTTCAGATATAATAAATCAATTATTTTTTTTTTAATGGATGCATTTTTTGTAATCAGTTCCTTTACCAATTTATTTATTTTTACTCATAATAGGCTGCTCCACTATCTTAATGGTAGATTATTAATATTGAGATATTTTAACAATCAGTTTTTAATTTGCATCTGACAATTGAAAAACATGCAAATTTAGTTAAATTGAAAGAAATAAACTATATATATATATTATATATATATTATAAATTATGATATATATTTATATTGGGGGAAAATTGTGAAAATGGCCTACCTCGGAAACGCGTTCGAATCTGCGCAGTATGTAAACCTGGTCCTTCCAACTGTAAAAAAGAAAACCAAAATGGCGGCGCCCGCGTTTTATGCCGAGCAGTCTCGGTCAGTTAACGTGAAATCTCGTTGCCTCGTGATTCGCATGCAAATCGTGGTCGGTCCGCAGCTGTATAAAGCAGGCTTGTTTCTGCTGTTTCAAATGAGAGAGTTTTCGGCTCGTGAGAAGGTTGGACGTGCGACACCGGTTTTCTTTGTGCCTACCTGCTATCATCAGTTGAATTGTTGAGTTACACACCACAAGCTATTTCGGCAATGGACAAGTTCGATCTAAAGTTGATCCCAGAATTCGACGGCTCCCCACGGGCCCGACTATCGTCGAATGGTTTGAAAAGGCCGAACGTGTTTGCAGGGTGTCCAAAATAAAGGAACCTGCACTAGTCATCCCACTGAGACTCACGGGAGGAGCCTACGCAGTATATCAACAACTCGGGGACGATGCTGACCTAGAAGAGATCAAGGACGCCCTGTATACGGCCTTTGAATAGATCCATTCCTCGCTTGGAAACAGTTCGTCGGACGACGGCTCGAGCCGGGTGAGACCGTGGATGTTTACCTGGCTGATTTGCGAAGGCTGGCAGTACTGTTTGGCGGAGCAACGGACCGCATACTGGGGTGCGCCTTCCTGGAAGGGCTTCCTGATGACACCAGTCGGTCCTACGAGCGTCTTCAAGATTGGACACACTGGGAATTGACGAATTGCTAGCCAGGGCTCGAAACATCTTGAAGGACACTGAACAGATCGCGGCAGCCGTGAGAACGCCTGAGACACCGAGGGTGGGGCCCAAAGTGCCGGAGCAAGTGCGGTGGACCCAACCATTTCTCTAGGGACTGCCATGTAGCACAGGATTGCTCGGGAATGAGTCCGGGGACAAGGTGCTGTCGCAACCCTTGCCCCTCTCGGTCAGTAAATGCGGCATTGCCTGTTGTCAACGTGTACGTTGAGGCTAAACGATGTTCGGCGCTCGTTGACACTGGATGTTCCTGATCGATCGTTAGTGCGGATCGATGCGTGACATGGAACAGTCAACGAATCGAGATTCGGACGATTGACGGGGTGTCCTGGGCCTGTTGTGGTGTCAGGACTGTGTCCGTCCTAACAGACGGAGGAGTCATGCCAAAGTCGACGTCTTGGTGTCACGTCATAGGCCCCTCGGATACGACCTGCTACTTGGGATTGATGCGATCCGAGCGTTAGAGGCATGATGATCACGCCAGCCGGAAATGTGGAACTGGGTGAAAGAAGAAAGGGTGTGCAGCCCTTTGCGTTAGTGAGCCGGATTACGACGTCTCCCTTCAATTCCGACGAGAGAGTGTGGACCGCCAGGTGGAAATGGGCCCAAAAGACCTGCCAGTTCAGTTTCGCAACAAGGTCGCTGAGTACAAAGTTCCAGACAGCATCAGAGGAAAATACGAGAAAGAGCTTCAGCAGTGGATTGTGAACGGCTGGCTGATTCCATACCCCAGGAAAGACTGGGACCCCCAAAGGGTCTGATTCCCTTGATGGCAGTCGTCAGGAGCAGAAACAGAAGGTGCGTCCGGTACTCGATTACCGCGAATTGAACGACTTTGTGGATGCTTTCACTGCCGATGCAGAAGTGTGCGCACATAAGTTGAGAACGTGGCGGCGGCAGGGAGTCAATGTGTCGCTTCTGGATCTGCGGAACGCATATCTTCAGATTCACATCGACGAAGCGCTGTGGCCATTTCAAACGGTTATTTTCAAAGGCCAACGCTTCTGTCTTACGCGGCTAGGATTTGGGCTAAATGTAGCGCCACTCATCATGAAATCCGTTATAGACGCCATCGCATCGCAAGACCGCACAATTGAAAGTGCCACATCAGCATACGTTGATGATATCTTCATTAATGAAAGTTTGGCCTCTGCATCGCGTGTAAGACAACACTTTTCGGATTACGGTTTGGTGTGCAAGGATCCGGTGCGACTGAGAGATGGAGCAAGAGTTCTTGGCTTGCAGGTCTGGGAAGAAAATGGCACCCTCCGATGGAAACGAGGAAGTCAAATTCCGGAAGCCCCTGATGTGTTGACCCGGCGGCGCGTATTTTCGTTGTGTGGGAAACTTGTTGGACACTTCCCAGTGTGTGGATGGCTCAGGGTGGCAGTTGCATTCGTCAAGCGCCTGGCAACCGCAGCAACCAATGGATGGGATGATAACATCAAAGATCCCCTCTCTGTCGCATACTAGCAGAGATGTTAAGTAGAGTGTGGGAACTGGATCCAGTCGGAGGAGACTGGTGCATGAGTGGTGACGAGATCACAGTCTGGGTGGATGCGAGTTCCGTGGCGACAGGAGTGGCATTGGAAGTAAACGGAAATGTCATCGAAGATGCGTGCTGGCTGCGTCCGACTAATGATG